GGTGACACATCACACATGACTTTGACTCTGAAGTGACTATGGTGGCAAAACCCTTCACCTTCAGCCTCTAGCCACTCACTGATGTTTTTCCAGAGGAACTTTTACAATGTCCATTTACAACATGTACATTCTATAAGTGTACTATATTTTACCTTTAATATTGTAATATACTCTATATCAATTGGTTGTTTAGATATGCTTAAATCTATAGTTACCTACATTGTATTATTACTGTGGCCAATAGCCAATATATTCCTTTTGTCTACAGGTGCCTTGCTTAGGAACAATGGCATATAACCAAAGCCTGGGTGGGTAGAGAGATTTATATTCTAGGCTTATATAAGCTGCATCTGTGATTTACACAATTAATAAATTGTCTCATGATTCATTAGACACAATTCATTTTTATTATTAAGCAAGGTATGAATTGCATACTGATATTTCTATAATTCATTGTATTGTCTATTACAGAATTTCTTTATCCCTTCTTTGCCTATATTAAATAATGCTGATGTAAACAGTAGGGTGCAAACTTTCACACTGCTTTTAAACTTTGGTTCTCCTGAATATACCTTGGAGTGGATCTGGTCAGACAAATGGCAGGCATATCCCTGGGATTCTATGGTCCCTACATCATTTCCATGCCCACTAACAATTTAATGATTTATAATTTCTCCATTATCATCTTATTAGTTACTGTGAAGTAATATTTCATTATGATACTGATTTTGAGTTCCTTATATATTGAACAACCAGTCAAGGAATTAGAATGAAAATGAAGCTTTTTTTCTTTCATAGGTTTGCAGAAGCAACCTCCAGCACAGTCATGTCTGCTTGTGTTTCATATTTTATTTCAGCTGCAGCAGTGCAGTTGTATAGACCCAGTCTCTATTCTCTGTCTATAGCTTCAGAGGGTAGGACTGCCATCCTCTTCAGGCCAGTCAAGGCACAAGCTGACACTGGTGCCAGCAGAAACTGGATCAGCCTCCAAAGTTCTACATGCCATTTTCTGTACAGTCTTTCTCTGAAATTCTCTCATGATCAGTGCAGATTTCATATTCAGTTTCAGCATACTGGAGCCTAAATATGCTACACCTCACTACTGTCGTGGAATCCCCAGTATTTCTTACAATGTACTATAGCCCTGAAGAAAATCTAACACAACCAGCTAAAAAGATAATCAGAAAATACCATGTTTTTCTAATTTTTGAATGTGTACATGGGGTCATGATCTGAGCAATATGGGGAAGTCTGGATCACCCCTGACAAGATCCCTGGAACTGAAACCCAAGTCACTGTTTCATATCTTAGTTTCAACTTTAACCATATTGATTTTTCACAGTAAATGGATATATTTTGAAGACAAATTTATTTCTTCCTTCTACAGTTTTAAATATTATGTCCTTTCTGAAGCCATTATCTAGACATTTTCTAAAAGGTCTTTGTGGTAGTGTATCTCATATGGAAATGATATAGTTGCAATAGACACATACAACATTATTTTGTGGTCAGTAGTGTCATTCTTACCTGAGCAAGTTCAATGAATGCAGAGTCCTCTGTTAAAAGTCTAGGGACTAGCATAGGACTTTAGGACTAAGGATACTTAAATCAAGAAACTTCTGTTGCCAAATGAGAGACTCTTGGCCAAAAACTGAGGAAGCAGATTACTAACCAGTGACCATGGATTTGAGAGACAAAAGGAGGTTGATAGTTGGAAAGATCTTCTCATTCTTTGTGTTGATTTACATATGAAATATGGTAGAACAATCTGCCCCTAAAACTGAACATCTTTCATTGATCACCAGGTTGTTAGAATGTGGTTTCCCTCATCTCACTGAGATGTATAACTGCGTTTTGAAATCTTCCCTTTTAACTCAGAATTCCTATGTGTCAAGGATCATTATACTTTTAAGGGTTTTAAGAGGACAAAAATGTTTCCTTCATGTTTTTGAGTACTTATTCATACAATGATAATTCCTTAGCTTCATCTGAGCATTGGGAATAGGTATTTATATTAGAGTTGATACCATCTACTTACAGGTGGTGCCACATTTATACATGAAAAGTTACAATCAGTTCTCAACTGTTTTCATTCTTTTATTTTATTACAATGAATTTTGTACCATCATGGATAAACATGTTTATGAAATGACACTGTATTAATGGCCACAGGAAAAATTCCCAGTGAATTTTTTCATAGAATAGTTTCAAGTGAGAGAAAATCACTCAGAGGAAATTTCAGTTGAGTATTTTGTTTGTTCACTCGTATTGGGAAGGATGGAGCAAAATGACAGTCATATCCTCTTCAGTATGTTCATGGTCCATCTTCATGTGCTTTGAAATACATTCTTACACTCTTCCCCCCATGCCCGTTTAAAAGATTATGTAAAAATTAATTGTAATTAGTGGTCCTGATATCTGGTGGCAGCTCAACTTAATCCTCTCATTGCCTCCAAAGAATTGGCTCCTCCATAACCTCCATGAATCTCCACCACTATGGAGATTTTGCTTCCTCCTTTGTTGAATGATAAACCTTCACTATTGAACATTTTACACAGGAAAAATCTTTACCTTATTCAAAACTGTTTTATTTCTTTTGTAAACTTCTTTATTTTCCAATTATAAACATGACATGTCATGAGTTAAATGAAAAGCAGTATTTTTTGTATTAAGATATGCAGAGATAGAGACTAAATTGGAGGTATCCATTGAAGACAAACATGCCCCTTAAAAATTGGGAAGCCCTGTGGAAGAGGGGGAGGAGAGACTGTAGGAGTCAGAGGGGATGGAGGGCATTAAGAGAACATGGCCCACTGAACCAACTAAGCAGGGCTCACATGGGCTAACAGAGACTGAAAATTCAGGTCTGGGGCCTGCAGGGGTCTGCACCAGGTCCTCTGCATATATGTTAAGGATGTCAGCTTAGTGTTTTTGTAGGACTCCTAATGGTGGGAGCAGGTGTATCTCCACCTCTTTTGCCTGCTCTGGAGACACTTTTCTTCCTATTGGGTTTCCTTGTCCAACCTTGATATGAGGATTTAACCCTGTCTTACTGTATCCTGTTTTGTACTGTTTGGCTGTTGTCTTTTAGAGACCTGCTCTTTTCTGAAGAAGAAATGGAGAAAGATTTGATCTGGGGGAGAGGGAATGTGGGGAAGCTAGAAGGAGTGGAGGAAGAGGAAACTATGGCTGCAATGTATAATATGATATAAGAATCTATTTTCAATTAAATATGTTTCCTGGCTGTGTGATATGCATGGGTATGGTGCAGTGTTGGTGATAAAGACGTGACATTTAGAACCTGGCACTCAGTCTCTTATTGTCAGCACCTTGAATGGTTACATATCTCTGTATTGACTGCTACCTGTTGCAAAAAGAAGCTTCTCTAACTGAGGTTGTGAACAACCAAGGGCAGTGGATATAAATGTAAGTATTCAGAAAGCAATTTGCCATCACAACCATTTAGTAAATACCATCACCATGCAGTCACAGATGCTGTTCTTACCTGCACAAGGCCAAGGAAACCAAAATTTAGCCATGCATTTGGGAAGTGCTCTCCAGTCTCCATCCCTTTCTGAGAATTTCCTGGCAGTTGAATGATGCTGGAGGTGGGAGATTCATTACTTTTTAGAGTGTGGCCATTGGTAGGTTTCCCATGATCCAGTGTATAGGTCTACTCCCATGACCATATGGAATGTAATACTTAGACTTAACAGGTTATCAAGAAACAACACAAAACAAAAGAAGACATAGTATTAGGAGAGCAAGGAATTAGAAAAGCACATGGAGGTAGAAAATGCGGGAGAGATATGATCATGTTTTATTGTAGACATGTTTGAAATTATCAAAGAAAAAAAAAACCTTCCAGAACAGACTGAAAATATCAAGTAAAAAGCTCACTGACCCATGTGTGATGTGTCCTTTCTCCGTGCCCCAAAGTTTCCAACATGTAATGAAACATGTTTTCTACAGCAATAGAGGCATACACTATTGCTTTTTATATAATAAACACAAAATTTACGATTATACAGATTTCTAAAAGATAACACTATGTAGATTTGAACACATATTCTTTAGCTTAAATCCCCAGGACTTGAGTCTCAAAAAATTTGTACCAATTTCTCAAGTTCTAATATGGAACAATTAATATTTAAATCTTCAATCTGAATTAGCTCATGGATTGTTGTGTTCACTTATTCGAGTTCTATAACTAAATGCTAGAAATTCTGTTTATCTAACCAAGATTCGACTAAGTAACAAATTCTATTGGGAATATATATGTGTTTGCATGACTACATTCCTCTTTTTCACTTTTTAATGTTTCAACATACTTGTAAACGGCCATGAGAGAGTCATTTGTCATGTAGAAATGAAGATTATCTGTCTCTTTAGTTTTCTTTATCAGGTTCTGACAAAACTACAACAAACAAACAAAAATCAGATAGGCTTAGACAGGAAGATGCTATGCTGAAAACATTGGCAAATACAAAGAGGGTTGAAAAGATTGCCTTGGTTCTGTGGTGCTCTCTTGGCATGGTCTGGGCATCTAGACCATGTATGTCTCCATTCACACAGATCCAAATTTTCACAGTACAGTTCATCTGCCCCCTCATATCCATTTTTCTATAAACATAGGAGACATCTTTTGTCTCATCATTCTTTTTTTTTTTTTTTTTTTTTTTGAGATAGGCTTTCTCTGTGTAGCTTTGGTGCCTTTCCTGGAACTCACTCTGTAGCCCAGGCTGGCCTCAAACTCATAGAGATCCACCTGTCTCTGCCTCCTGAGTGCTGGGATTAAACGTGTGTGCCACCACTGCCCGGCCTGTGTCTTCACTCTTAAGAGTGGTCCTTTCTGTCCCTTGGTTCTATTCAGACAGCTGTACTAACCTCGTGATTTGCATATTGCTCCTTAGGGAGGACCTCTCCTTGCAGGTCCAGGACAAAAGCTAGCCCCTCTTTCTGCCCTCATTATTCAGGACTCTTCAAACCAAGTTCTCAGAATGAGGTGCCCTGCTCAGCTCCTAGGGCTGCTTGTGTTCTGGATCTCTGGTAAGGAGAGAAACAAAGATGAAGAAGGAGATTGTGGAAAGACTGCGGATTTCAGGGACCCCACTGATGCAGACACATGTTCTGTTCATGTGTGAGATTGCCAGTCTTGTTCACCAGGAATGTGCTTGTGAAGTTTAGAGGGGGGAGGGAGGAGAACTTGTGCTCTTGTGGCAACTCTGACAAGTACCTATGCAAATGGTACCACTGATTTTTAGGTAGTTTCTATGATCTCTCTACATAGGTGTTTCGTGTTAAACAGTTTTAGAATATAAATAAAATTCAAGAATACAGTAAGTAGAAAATAATAGGAAGGAAAAATTGTTTCATTGTATCATTTTGTCTGTACATAACCATTCATTTCTGTTATTTCAGGAGCCAGTGGGGATATAGTGATGACCCAGCCTGCACTCTCCAGTCCTGTCACTCTTGGAGAGTCAGCTTCCATCTCCTGCAGGTCTAGTAAGAGTCTCCTATATAGCAATGGCATCACTTACTTGAGTTGGTACCTGCAGAGGCCAGGCCAGTCTCCTCAGCTCCTGATCTATCTGATGTCCAACCTTGCCTCAGGAGTTCCAGACAGGTTCAGTGTCAGTGGGTCAGGAACCGATTTCACTCTGAAAATCAGTAGAGTGGAAGCTGAGGATGTGGGTGTTTATTACTGTCAGCAAGTGCTAGAAGATCCTCCCACAGTGATACATCCCTGAACAAAAACCTCCCTGCTTGAAGTGATGAAACTACCTCATAAGTTCCTTGTTTTGGGTACAACATGGTGCAGTCAACATGGCTGAAAATATGCTGAAGACACACTTGTTTTCCTCTGACTTTCAGCTATCACACAATGAACCCCTGGGAGAGGGGGCTTTTCAGGAGAATTCATGCTGGGACAAGGAGTGGCAGCAGCTTGGATGCTAAAAGTGCAGTCAGTTATGGAAAATGGTAGACAGGACCACATCTTGAGAAGGACCACTTCAGTGTGCATAAATTTTTGCCCAGTGTATGTAATCTTTCATTTCATTTCATGACTGCACAAGCCTCAGATAGTTCTATGGATGTATTTGTCCCACTTTCCAAAATGGCCACACTGCATAAAATCTTCCTTTTTTTTACTTTAATTTCAAATTTGCTTATTGAGGACAGGTTGATAGGATGAGCTTGTGACACAGTATATTATTCCACATTATGGAGCAATAGGAGATGCTTTGAGACTTTGTAAGAGGAAGCTGATGAAAGATTCAAACTAAGGAGTAACTGAGTCCTTAGAACAAGTGGCACTTATGCATTTAATAAGAAATTGTTATCTAAAAACAGACAAAGAGTTAAAAATACAACCAACCAATTATTCAACAAGAAATCTAACAACCAATCCATAAATGAAATAGACAGGAAAAAATAAAATACAAATGAACAATAAACAACCTCTGTTGTTACAGTCTTTCTGCCACCTCTTCTGTAATGTTCTCTGAGCCTTGGAAATGAGATACACTATAGATTCCCTATTTGTAGTTGAGTATAGCACTGACACTTTTTCTCTGCACTTTCACTATTTGTGAGTTTCTGTCTCAGCCACCATCCACTGCTCCAAGAAACTTTTCTGATATGGTCTGGAAGTTGCACTAATCTATGTATAGAGAGATATAAATTTGAAGACAGTTTGACTCTGGGTCTATTTAGCAAAGTATTAATAGTTGGTTGGCTCTTGAAGCCTGTGGACTCTGAAATCTTTGATTCTTGTGCAGATTTGCATCATTAGGCATGTGTTTTTTCCTGTGGGGCAGGCCTTAAGCTGAATTTTAAAAAGCTGTTGGAAATCCCATAACATCTGTGCCACTCTTGGTCATATGATCAAATCTTACATTCACGTCATCATTACAGTTTACAGGTTTTGCACTTTGGTAACAATGTTAATTTATTTTTGCCCCTCAGCCGCTGATATAACACCTTTCACTAGAGCAAAAACTTACCTTGAGGTCTCTGTTCTCCCGTCTCAATACTGACAATTTCTCCACTTTCTTTTACAAATGTGGGTAGAGTCTATAGAAATAACATCTCATTGTAAAATTCTGGTTGGGAACTCTATTCGTTTTTTCAGCATGAATCCTAAAAGGTCTTATTAATAAAAACAAACTTGGAGCTAGATATTGGGGTAAACACTGAAAGATCAGAGAAATAGAACAAGCCATATCGAATCTTACCTTGCCAACTTCTCACCTGATCTTGTTTCCTCAAACTAGAAGCCTCTGTGTCCTCACCCAAATGGATTTCAGCAGAACTGCTGCTCAAAAGCCGAAAAGCTTAAAAAGCTTCTAGTTTCTGGTCCTCACACCTTGTATACCTTTCTGCTTCCTGCCATCACTTCCTGGAATTAAAGGTGTGTGTCTTTCCCAAGCAAGACATGAGATTTCAATTCCTTGGATTAAAGGTGTGTGTCACCATGCTTGGCTCTGTTTCCAGTGTGGCTTTGAACTCACAGAGATCTGGATGGATCTCTGTTTCCGGAATACTAGGATTAAAGGCATATGCTACCACTGCCTCACCTCTATGTTTAATATAGTAGCTGTTCTGTTCTCTGACCCACAGATAAGTTTATTGGGGGTAAACAATATATCAACCAAAAGTTTTCATACAATACTTGTGATAAACTTCATGACCACAACTAATTTATAAAAAGGATTTCTTTTGACTTACAGTTCAAGATTAGAATCCATGATGGTGTGATGGTGTGGAGAAGGCATGGTGACTGGAGCAGCAGGTGAGAGCTCAATTCTCTAACTACATGTAGGAAATAAAGAACAAAACTTGAATGATGTACAGCTTTGAAATCTCAAACCTTGCCCCCAGTAACATACTTCTTCTAGCAAGCCCACCTTTCCAATATGTACAGTGAGAGCAACTGTGACCAAGTATGCAAACACTTGAACCTCTGGGTACATTCTCATTCAAAACACTACAGCAACCAAGAGGATCTTCAGTGTTCCTCTTATTAACATCTTGAAAAGAAGTATCCTAAACCTGGCTCAGGGATTTTTGTTTGGCAAGTTACAGCTTCTGGGTCAAGCATAATGCCCAGCATAGGCTAACTGTATTATAACTTTTATATTAGTAAGAATATGTATGAATATTACCAAAGAATTGTTTATTTTAGGGATTTTTTCAACATCCTTGATGACAGTTTTCTTTTCCCCAGTTCCTCCTTAATCCTTTCCTCCCATACGTCTCCACACTTCACACTGCCTATCTATTATTCTCTTTTCCCCTTTCATGTAACCTGGGTGCTAACTCCTCTGCTTAGGGTCTCTCTTCCCACCACAATGGTTTCCCAGATTCAACAACTATTTCACCTTAAGCACATAACTCTACAGAATATCTCACACAATACAATCTTTTCCAGCTATATCCATTTTCATAGAAATTTTATAATTTGTCCTTTCTTTGAATTCAAGTAAAGAAATTGATTTTTTTTAACAATAAAGAAAAGTAAGTTATTGTGGTTGCAGGACTGAATGCAACTGAAGATAACCATATTATCAGAATTACATTGATATCAGAATGACAACTATCACATAGTTTCTCCCATGTGTGTGTTTTTAGATTCTATATAGAAACATATAATCAGGTGTGTATATATGACACAAATTGGGGTGAAACTTTTTAGAGGAGCAAACTGTCAGGTTTTGGATGTGGTGTTGTGGTTTAAGAGAAAACTGAGGTGAGTAACTAAGGACAAAGGTGTTTATCATAAAAGTTATTAATGCTGTGTACAGACAAATGAGGGGAATAACATGGTGGGGACGTGGAGCTTCAGGGAGAGTTCAGTCTTCAGCACTAGAGACAGACAGCAAGCAGGGTCTCTGCAGGGAATCAGAGCTCCCATGAGAGAAGTGCGATCTGTTTCTACACAGTTTAAGGATTTGGGGAGGTTTACAGCAAGAGCCTACAGCCAACCTCTCTGATTCCCATGCAAAGAAGAGTGTGAGGACCAGGATGTGCCTGGTGCCAATACCTTAAAGAACATCCTTTTATCTCATTTCCCAGTGGATAGCTCTCATCTTCAATGTCCATCTAGGGCACCAGTCAATATGTACAAGAGTGGGAGAGCAGCTGTACATCTACTACTAGATTCAAACATCACAGTTTTTGTGGAAAGTGACTATTGAGAAAGGGGAGAAAAGGAAGTACAGAGGGCATAAGGGACAAAATAACCTCAAGGATAATATTTACAAGCATGAAAAGTTAGCGATATTTTTTAAATGCTGTTTGATCCGTACTGTAAAATTTTATACTACCTTCTATTCCTTAGACCTGAATGTTCTTACAAAGTTAGATCTAATATGTCTCATAGAATGACTATTTCAAAGGTTTGTTGATCATATCCCTAAGTGGTTATCTTGGGAAGAACAAATATCAGGAAACTTCTTAAGATCAAGTTCATGCATTTACTGAATAAAAACTTTCAAATATTAGTATGAGAGTGTGTGTGTGTTTTGTACTTCTATATGTTAAGGAGTGGTCCAAGCTGATTTTCCATAACCTTTCCAAAGAGTGTCTAATACAATGGTCTCTGACCCTGTCTTAGAAAGCCGCTGCTTTCTGCACCCAGTGCCCCCATCACTAATCCTGCATTTCATAACAATGTCCTCTTTGTTCAGTGCTTAAAGCATGAAGATATTTTACATCGTCTTACTCAGAAAGGTGACCCTTACTTAATGCTTGACACTTCTCAAACAGCTGCATACATCTGAGCATGCATATTTTTCTGTAAGGAGATCCATCCATGCAAATCTGAGATCAATGCTCAGATGTAGTCTTACCTTGACTACCAGTGGCTCCTCAATCAAAATTAAGATCAGGGTATCAGGCATTGTTCCTGAGACTGCTGATATTTTGGATGGCTGATAAGAACAGCAGATATGGACAAGGAGAACACAGAAGGACATCTGGTTAATGGGACAGTGTGTTTTTGCCCTTCCCAGGTTGCTCTTGGTAGAGTCTCAGAGCTTTTCATGGAGAGCCTGCTAGCTTTTCTTAGTTGCTAAGAAAAGTGCAACTTTGTTACAGTTGTGTAACTTGGTTTTTCTGTGAGACTCTTACAGTAAGAACAGGGGTTGTCTCTGACTGTGTTGCCTGATTAGGGGACCCTTTCCTCCTACTGGATTGCCTCATCCAGCATTAATAGAAGAGGAGGTCCCTAGTCTCACTGCAACTTGATATACCATGGCTGGCTGATATCCATGGGAGGCTCACCTGTATCTGAGGAGAACAGGCAAGGAGGAGTGGATGGGGCTGGGGGGAAGAGGAAATGTGATTAGGAACTGAGAAGAGGGGAGGGAGGGGAAATTTTGATTGGAATCAAAGAACAACAACAAGAAAAAGATAAAAATAAAAGAAAGAAAAGTCCAACTTTTCCCTTTTCTCTTTCTAGCTCTTTCCTAAGCATGCTTCCATTTACTCTTTGGCTTTTCTCTCTGTTTTCCTATGTTCCCTTCCTCCTTATGCCATGTAGTGGCTTGCTGGTCTCCATGACTAACTACTCAAAGGACTTGGTTCCTCTCCACCTCTTTTCTATCTCTCTTCTCTGTCAGCTACTGAGATATACACTTTGATTACCATATTGTTTGACTCTCCAATAAGCTTTCTTTCAAGTTTGCTTTTAAATTATTTTATTAACAAGACTTTGCATCCAAAGAAAATAGCATAAGTTTTCCTG